TTTATGTAGGTTAAACGCTTCAAAAATCAACAATAAATAGCAAAATTATTTCCACTTTCAAAATGGCGGATGGCGGCCATCTTGGATTTGAGACGCAAAATGGCCGCCAATTATTTGCATAATGTCAAAAATGGATTCCTTGTCCCTAGTTTAGTCAGGATTGATAACCTTTACATGCTTTTAGGAAAAAAGCTGATGGAAATATGAAAAATTATATTTTGGTACCTAATTTACATATTTTATGCTAATTATGCTAAGTTATGCATTAATAGAGCCCGTGTCTACGGACAAAAACATTTCTTTGGTCCAAGGAACATTCATGCCAGTGGCGGATTTAGAGAAGGGGTCAGGGGGGGGGGGGTTCTGACACCCCTTCGATTTCTGAAAAAAAAATCACACCAAAGGCTCCTCTGCAAATTAGATTTTAGCCTGGCTAATTCCCACTAGCCTATTAACCGTGCCAAATTAAATGGCACCGTTTGCCCTCTAAAATACCAAAAAATTTAGGGGACCTTCAGCGGGCACAGAACGCCGCGCCAAAGGGGGGGGGAGAGGGCCGGCTTCGCATCCGCGTCCTCCTTTCAAATAATCCTGGATCCGCCCCTGCATGCCAAGTTAGATATCGCACTATAAAATGTAGCGTTTGACCCCGTAAAATCACAAGACCATGAAACTGTGCCAACTGAATAGAGCAATCCAAATCTCCCTCAGCGTGAATCATACTAAAGAAGTAAAGAAATTAGACCCCTTAAAAAGGAACATACTACAAAATTTTACGTCACAGTACGCCGGGACCTAACACTGAAGGGTTTAAAACTTACAAAATATTGACAAGACCTGACAGACGGTCATCCTGATATATTCTTACACAGTGTGCCGTATCGACCCTGGTATAATGATTCCCATGAAGAAGTTTGGGGGTTTGTTAGTGCTATATTTATTATCATCTTCAGGTAAGATGCCTTTTTGTTAACATATTTTTTACAATGCCAAAGTGACATATACATGCATCTAATATGTAAGTGACATTTTGAGCACAGATTCATGAGACTTGACTTTCTACAGACTTGACATTTAATATGGAATATTTTTTTACAAATCATTTTTCATCAGTTCTTTCCTATTTTGCTTAATGATAAGTGCAAATAAGGATTAAAATCGTGTTTTAATAACTTGAAATTATCTCTTTGATGTCAATGCGACATCAGTTCATTAACTGAATTCGCCAGTGAAGCAATCAAAAATACATTGCCTATTCGAAGTCATAAGACAACCATTAAAAACGATATTTTGGTTCTCCCTATTTTCCCATTTATCATCTGTAAAAGAGTTACACGCACCACAAAGGACAGGCATGTCAGTGTCTCGCACAGCAACGGTCGCTGTTACGCCTGACCTCATCTAGCTGCTACCAGGGCTTTCAAGCGGCAAGGCATTCCTTGGGACAGCTTTTTAGAGTTTAATCTGGAATAACATTTCAGGCGTCGGTCAAAACATGTCCAATATGGTTCAGTTTTGTTGTAGGAAACGTAGGCCGTTGATTTAGCGGGTAATGTCTATGTGGTTCAAATGTGGCGACTTTGATTACTAAGGTAGTTGCTCATTCCCTTGGTTCTGTACGTTATCTTCTATTAAAAGTGCTCTATGTGAACCGGCAATCTCATCGTACAACCTAAAATTGTTCCTATCAAATAATAGTCAAGTAGTTTCCAGGTTTTTCCTTTATTTGATCTGGTTCAGGTTTTCATCGATGATTGTCATTGGGGTTTTGGCACCAATGTGGTATCCACTAACTCCAAATACTGACGCTGTTGATAACCTTAATCACTTTAGACGAGGCACTCGCTTCGTCGTAGGCCTTTTCAGAATATCTGTAAACTCTCTTTTGACTAGTTGAGCGGTACAGGTGAAATCTGACCTCAATAAAGAAAGTCACGCGGTTTTTGTGTTCTACCAAGAAATGGTTATCTCCAATTCATTAAAGAAACAAGCAAAGCTGTTTTGCTGTTTACAGTGGCTTCCTCACACGTTGCCTGATATTCTAACCTGCCTCCCGAATGTAGTACGGATTTTGAAAATTCTTCATTCCGGCTGGTTCTGCTTGATTCCTGCTGATTCCAAATCAGTGTGACGGGGCCTTTTATTTTTACTTGGTAGCGACACACCCGACTACACACTTCTCCATTCAGATATCTTATATAATATTTGAGTTTTTTGAAAAAGAGAACGCAATTTTTCGTAGATATACCTTTGAAACTGAAATAATCCATATTAAATGCTAAGTCTGTATAATTATAGTACGGTTTCTACACTGAAAACTGAATACGGCTGATCATCAACAGGGGGGTTTCGAAAAGTAAAGTTATATATATATCCAGATTTCCCCAAAGGGATCCTTTACGTAGAGGGTCTGTTTCCTTCCCTACCGTGCGATCTTAACAAGCAAACGAGACGAGTGAAATGTTGTGTTTTGCTGATATGATAGTGGTTAGGGTAATACTTCTTTTTTTTCCAATTCTCAGGTGAAAAAATGTGAAATCTAGCTTTTTGAGTATATCACTGGAAATTTTAAAATTCATGTCTTGTAAGTATGGTGAAATAGTCGTATTTAGTAAGGCGCCAGTTGTAATTTTAGGCACCCAATACATGATTACTATATTTTCATATTCCTACTATTTCTCACATCTAACCCATCAGCTACGCCTTATAGGGCCAACTACAAAATTACAGCCGAAGCCTTCGCTTTGACAAAGGAAGTGTCTGAATTACTTTCCTGCCCGTGCTCTTTATTGTAATAGACTATACCAAAGCCTGAGGCTGTCTTCCACTGTGTTACAGAAAATGTGGTGTCATGTCAGTAATTGACATCCACAAGTGAATAAGGTGCAGGTACTGAGTTGATTGATGTGCTCTTTTGACAGTTATACAACTGCGAATAATGTAAATGGAGAGAAGGCCGCTAGAGTTTGCATGACATAGATACCAAAGCCGGAGGTTGTCTTCCACTGTGTTAAAGAATATATGGTGTCATGTTAGTAATTGACATCCACGAGTGAATAAGGAGCAGGGACTGTTTCGTAGAGGTAGGCCTACTGAGTTGGTTGATGTGTTCTTTTGACATTTATTCAACTGCGAATAATGTAAACGGAGAGAAGGCCGCTAGAGATTGCATGAGACAGAGATAGAAATGGGGAGAAGGCGGTGCGGGATATGGCTGGAAAGAAGTTAATGAATAACACGAAAGAACATAAATGAGTTGTATTTACTATCTCGGCAGAAGTTAAGGACTACAACTTCGCCACAGATGCATTTTTACCGCTGGCGTCGATATTTTTTCACTTATATCACTGTAAAACTACCAAAATGTTCAAAGACTGCAGAATTTGCCGAAACAGCTCAATCTCAATATTAATTAATTGATTGAATAATGCACCAACGTCAAAATCTAATCGATTCTTATTAAGCCCATTACTGAGGAATCCTGAAATTTTATGTACATCCACCCATTTTTTTTAGTTAGCCTGCTTATCACAAACAAAACAACGATGTTCAAATCATAACCTCCTTGGCAAGTGTAAAAGTGACACACCCTTTTCATACTTTGCCCTATATCTGTTTTAACTACAGCTGTATTAACGGTAAAATCTTATCACAAAAGTCAAGGAAATTCCTTCTTTATCAATGAGGGAATTATGCCAAAAAATCCATTTTGTATAGATTTCCGGAGTATCTTTACTTGATGATTCATATTATAAGACAACTTTTCCATGAAAGTTAAGAAAGAACTTTTCCAACTTTTGTTAATAATCGAGAATAAAATTAAAGAGAGCAACAGAATGTCGCACAGCAAACCTAAGAAAGACAAATTTTCTCTGAAAAGATTAAAACGCCAAACCTTTATCCACCATATGCATTAAACACCATTTAAATGTGCAATAACCGTGTATCCCACAGCTTCACTTGAAATACATAATTTTATATTTTAATGTTGCTTTACTTTTATGTACAGACACAGATGCACTTTCATTAATAACACAGTAAGTGGAAAACCGTTTTACCATTTGGCTTTAAACTTACAGAATGTGTGAATATTTATAATACGCAGGTTGAGTTCGAAAATCAGCATGATCGGGCCATTTTTTAAAAGCTATGCTGTCTTTTCGCTTTTATCAGCATCTATGCATCACTAATAACACGATAAGTGGGAAACCGTTTTACCTTCTGGCTTGAAACTTACAGAACAGATGAATATTCATAATACGCAGTGTATAAGTGGTTTTATTCAGTTATAATTCTTTAGCATTATTACAGCCTCATTATTGAGCTAATTAGACATTTTGTGTATCTTAACAGTATTATTAGTTGATTATATAAAAATGCTGGTAAACCTGTTATCGTTCATTGTATAATACAGTGTCAAAAATGGAAATAAACTCATATCATTGCACTTTGTCAGATCCAATCATTCAGTATGTTCAGAATCTCAGAATGGAGCAAATTGGATATTTATAAATGTTCTATTGATATATTTCCTATGTCAACAATTTTCTTACATGATCAAATATAATGACAGTAATTTCATTATTTTGCATTTTGTGATTTTGAACTCTGTATGGTCCTGAGACTGTAATCTTATTGACCATGTTACCCGTTTTGCATGATTAAAATTTAGTATTGATTGATTATGCTGTTATAAGCATTATTTATTATTGTATCAAAATTGACAAAATGACTTATTTTCTGCATCTCTATTTTCTGCTTTTTGTCTGTGCGTTTGACAGCTTTGCTGCCTTGTTTCATGTAGTTTGCAGTAATAATGTGACAGATGACTTCCTTATTATTGCGGACCTACAAAGCGGGGTAATATGGCAAAGAGATTTGATCACACGAAGAGTGCATGCCATCTACACCCAGTGTAATAATCCTGCATCAGCAAGTTACGACCCCATAGAGCAACGTGTTTACTGGACTGAAATCTTCACCTACGCTAAAATAAGAAGAGTAAATATTGATGGAACAGAGCCGGAGACCGTCTTTAATTTCACTTATGGTAAGTCTGATATAGTTACATCGACATGTTTAACTTACAGGCATATTGACACTTAGGAATGCACACACACACACACACACACACACACACAAACACAAACAGAGAGAGAGAGAGAGAGAGAGAGTCATTCAAAAGCAAACTTCTCCTTCCAGGGAGCGTGCCGGAGATTGTGACAGTTGACCATATTTCCCGCCTCCTCTATTACACTGAGGGTATATACAGTACCGTTGGTGTTATGCGCATGGACGGCTCACAGCACAAGGTTTTGTTTAGAGCTAATAAACCGAGAGGGATAACACTGGATCCAATTAATGGGTATTCATAATATTTCTATTTTCTTGTACTTGCTGACATAATTCTTTTCTTTTTAACAAATAACATGATGGAAATTGGAATTAATGTTTTCTTTTTACCTAAAACTAACCTTGTATGTAGTTATAGTACTATAAACATCTTTGTGCATTTTGCGAAACATATACTGCTCTTTTTTACCACTTTTTATCATAAGTAAGTTATTTGTTTTAAATAATATATTGGATTTTTGTCTTGTTTATTTATATAAATCAGATTCCTTATCCTTACAAGATAGTTTTTATCGGATTGTATCATAATGCCATTGTATTTATTAGACTTTTAAGGGGTTGCCAAACTATTAAATTAACACAGAGTCCGGCAATTTGTCAATAAGGAAGTGAGAGTCAGCGTGAAGTTTTAGGGGACAGCCAGAGAGTGCGCGTTTACGTCTATACTTTTTAATCTAAAGTCATGTATGGTGTGTTGTTATGCCGTACTTCTTATGCAATGTAAAAGTTAGGATTTGACCAAAACGAAAATGGCAAGCTTTCAGAAGCAAATGTAAACTTGTGGATTAAGTTTTATTTTCTGAAACAAATTAAAGCTGGACTTTCAAAATATTAAGTTCTTGGAGCTCTTATACTGACATGAATATTTTGGTCAAAAATCTTGTCCCACCTCTAATTTTTTTTATTTATGATCACTTCACAACTGTAAATCATTTAGGACCTGTATTATATACTTACACACACTGGACAAAAGAAGTGTCACCCCCTAACTCAGAGTAATAAAAGTAGGCAGATCTTGGGTACTTATAATGTCTGGTCTACTTATAATGTGACTAATGAGTATAAAACCGCTATACCATTGAATTGTATTGTTGGTCTTGTACATGTACAGCAAATGTTATTCCTGTCTTCCTCCAATATGGCAAGATACAGGCAATTATCTAACGGTTATAGGTGCAAGTTATTAACCTGAAGAGGCGGAATATAAGCNGTTTGATATACATTATATAATGTCTAGTACTTTAAACATCTTTGTGCATTTTGCGAAACATATACTGCTCTTTTTTACCACTTTTTTATCATAAGCAAGTTATTTGTTTTAATTAATATTTTGGATTTTTGTCTTGTTTATTTATATACATCAGATTCCTTATCCTTACAAAATAGTTTTTATCGGATTGTATCATAATGCCATTGTATTTATTAGACTTTTAAGGGGTTGCCAAACTATTAAATTAACACAGAGTCCGGCAATTTGTCAATAAGGAAGTGAGATTCAGCGTGAAGTTTTAGGGGACAGCCAGAGACTGCACGTTTACGTCTGTACTTTTTAATCTAAAATCATGTATGGTGTGTTGTTATGCCGTACTTCTTATGCAATGTAAAAGTTAGGATTTGACCAAAACGAAAATGGCAAGCTTTCAGAAGCAAATGTATACTTGTGGATTGAGTTTTATTTTCTGATACAATTTTTAGCTGGACATTCAAAATATTAAGTTCTTGAAGGCGTTATATTGACATGAATTTTTTGGTCAAAAATCTTGTCCCACCTCTAATCCAATTTTTTTTACATATATGATCACTTCACAACTGTAAATCATTTAGGTAATGTATTATATACTTACAATGCGTCCAGCACCTCTCTAAATTATTATTTTTTAAGTGATTTTGTTGAACGTGACGCTTCATGACGTTATGTGACGCGTCATAGTGTTACATGACGTAAGAGGTACACATTTCTACTTTGTTACAGCTGGATGTATTGGACGGATTGGGGTGGGGAACCAAAGATAGAACGCGCCCACATGGACGGCGGAAACAGACAAACTGTGGCGGACACGGGACTAATGTACCCAAACGGAATAGATATTGACATCCACGGTGAGATCTGAACGATATGTGAAATTATTGCATTTAATTGGGAATATCACGATAATAATTGTCTTTTATAACTAATCAAGAAATACGGGTACTAAGATTCCAGTGTTTTATAAGGATATTTTAAGACCTTACTTTTCATGTTTGCTTTTGATGTTATAATTGAAGCAACCATAAGGTTTCAGATATACGGATATGCATGTATAAGAGCGCAAAAAATTATATATATATATATATATATTTTATATATTTTTTCTTTATATATATATATAAAGAAAATATACAGGCCCTAAACTAATTTTTTTCTGCAATTTTCATATATCTTTATATGTTTCTCCAACGCGTTTGAAAACCCTGCATTGACTTGTATTTCCTAATTCAAGTTCTAATGACAACTAAACTCTTAAGATCAAAGTTAATCTGAAGCGTTCTTTGTGTCTTTATTATCAGGTACCTATTGTCAGCTTGCAACGCACTATACACGGTGCAGTGGCGCGATACAATACAGTGTAAGAATAAGGCAATGCGCGTGTCGTCAGAAATCGTTAGTTTGACTGGCCAGTCATTTTAAACTAAAGTATTAAATTAAAATGGAATAAAACAGCGAATCCAAGCAATAATTCTTGAGTAAGAGAAAATTGCTCTTTAGCCCAGGAAAATTCATTTTGGTCGGAAAATCCCTTGGAGTGGCCATTTTGAAATAAATAAAGTGTTCTGCAATCTTCTATTTCATTTCTTTGACACACTGAAGCTGGAAAAGATGTTTTGGTTTATTTTTTCACAGTTATATTTCTGAAATAAGTATAGTCCTTTTAGCAGGGTATCCTTTTATTCTTTTTAAAAAGCAATCCTCTAGGATTTTTATCAAGCAGAGACGTTTATTCACGCAAAGATCCGGTTTCTTATGGGGCGTCGATTGATTTGCAACTGGTATGCATCTGCTTTTGCTCTTTTCTCTTTGTCTTTTTATCCCCAGGTATTTACCACTTACAACACAAAGTAAATAATTCGTGACAGGTCTTGCACATCATGTACTCTTTCATTCTCATCCTTGTGGTGAGAATATCAAGCACTGGAAGGATGTTAAATTGCTTATATTAAAACTATTTTTTGTTAATGATTCTTGGACATTTTGACAATCTCTTACATTATTTGTAATTTAGTTTGAATAAATTAAATAGGAATTATTTAATTGCTTCTATTTTCCGTTTTTCTCTGCATCCGTCTATTTGTTTCACTGTTTACTCAGATAATTTGGCGTTGCACAAATTTCAAATGAGTTGCAGCGATGAAATAGGGTATCAGCATGTTTACCAATGCTTTTCACAGAATAACGAAAGAAATAAACATAGTGTCAAAAATCCGTTCATTTGTACTCTGCCTGATATGGATTTTTGATGTTTTGTAGTGTTAAAATGCGTGTCGTATGCAAAACTTGTCAATTAGTGTAAAACCTTGCAAACAAGACGCAATTTGTTGTTTTTCCTACGATTTTATGATTATTATGTTTAGAAGTCATGCATGACAAAAATGAATAAAATTAAATAAATAGTCCACGCCCAAATATGCCACTGTCCTACACCTTTTTTATTTTGGTTGCTTGTAGCGACATGTTTTCGAATGCTTGTGACCGGTTAGAAACTTGTAAACGACCAAGCGACTTAATGCTTCAATTGGCCGTACAGTTTCAAGTGGAACGTGACTGGTTTTAGTCTGGTTATAGCGAGCTACTGGCTACCAGGAAGAGACTGAGAGGCAACCTTTGGGATACCGATACATTTTATCTTCAGTCGTTCTGGTTGTCGGTGCACAATTAAAATAGCCTTCATGTGTCAAAGATCGCTGGCGACCTGTTAGCAATCTTGTGCGGCCACTTTAATACCTATGGCAACCCCCCTGTGATTGAGGTTGCTAAAAGGTTTCAAAAAGGTTGCAAACACAGTGTGACCCAGACTTAACTCATTTGGTGTGGTACGGTGTGTTGTATAAAACAGATGTTATTATCATACAATTTTTGACGGAAATATACGGATAATTGTACTTTAATCTCTTGTGAACACAGACATAGAATGAACGCCGTATACATCTTTTCATTTAAATCAAATGGCATCAACATTCACGATAACTATCTTGTTTTACAGAACAGAAACTTTATTGGTGCGATGGATTTTATTCAAAAATTGAAACTTCCGACCCAAATGGAAGTAACAGACGATCTTTGATCAAAGCGGGAGATACTGATGGAGGCCAATATTATGATATAGCAGTGGACGGACAGCAGATCTATTTCACTGATTTCAGCTTCGACAGTTCATGGTACGTCACTTACTGTTTAGACATCTGTAAGACAGTTTGTAGAGTTAGATTTTTAAACTAAAATTTTGCTGTTGAATGTCGACATTATATTTCGTTGTGAATTGAACTTCGTCTGTGACACTTACATGTATATGTATACATGTACGTCAACACTAACATGTGAGAAACTATACATTGAATGTTGCTGATATTCGTAGTGAAACCGGTTTTTACATTCCATCTCCTTATAATTAATGTCATTATGGAATTTTTACATTTAATATTCACTTATTTTCGATTGTATATGTCATATAATGAGCTGGTTATTTGTTTATTGGTCTTTATTTAACCTTGGTATTCAAATTAGGCACGTTTGTATGTTTTGCAGGTCATACCACAAGTACGACGGCGATAACGTTACTGTTGAAAGCAATAATTCCATTCCATCGGCCAAGTTAAGAGGCGTTCGGGTGTACAGAAGCTCATACAGTTTATCAGGTAATACGTTAAGGCCTGGGTTATCTAACAGAACGTTTGAAGTCAGTGTAGGGAACGAAACCCCTTTTTGCCTAGGAGTTATTAGTGTTATTATATTATTTAGGTATTTTTACAGAAGTTTTTTTTTTTTTTTTTTTTTTTTGAACACGATTTAAATATATTACTCATATTTGGTGCACGCGTATATTGTAACATCATCAAACCATCTGAATCTCTTAACTTGCCATGATAATATTTTCAAGTTATGCACTGTTTTGTTATGGCAACTTTGAATTGTAGGATCGAACGCCTGCAGTGTAAACAATGGTGGTTGTCCATACCTGTGTCTGCCAAAACCCAACGGCAGAACGTGCGCATGCCCAGATGAGGAATCCGAATGCGTTTCGATGGCCACTGATACACCGTCTACTACTGTCAAAGAAGTGAGAGCGATAAACGACACAGGTAGCGTGGCTTTCAAAGGATAAAAGGAGTTTAAGCAAGGATAATTAGATGACTGTAATTGCTGTTGACTATCTCAACTCTATGGTAACATTTGATTATCACCTTAATGTAATTTTAAAATGGAGATCATCTGATTCGAATGCAAACAGGTCTACATCTTTTAATTTTAAGATTTTGCAAGGCCTAGAAATCATGATCATAAATGGTTTTCACCGCTTGGTTATTTGTCAAAATGTTTACTTCTTTTGTTATTTTTGTCATTCCAGTACAAAAAGCCAATGACTCGACAAACACCCCATTGGAAATTATTGTCCCATTGTCCTCCTTGCTGGCTGCTGTCATATTGGTAGTGATCATCATACTAGTATTTTTGAGAAGACGAAGGTAAAAACTTTCTCACTATCTCTCTCTCTTATTTAAAACATACGTTCTCTCTTTCTCTCTCTCTCTCTCACTTTAATATTTAGTATTTTTTCATACTTTTCCTTCACATTTCTGTATCTATTTATTGATATATTCGTTATTTTATTAGCTTGGTTTGCTAACGGGGTATCGTTTGGTCTTGTTCAGTCTTGTATATTTCCAATTGTATACAAGGTTCATTTCTTCTTCTTCTTATTATTACTATTATTATTAACCCCTTGAGTTGTTACATGTTACAAAAGAGGCACTGAGTAACATGCATGTATATATGTATATTACAACGTCATCATATTTCAGAACACTGCCACCTGACCCACAAAGCTTACCTCGCCTCAACCCAACATTTCACAGCGGTACGGTACCGGCCCATCCTGGAACCCCTGAACAACAGCTCCATCGTTCGCGATCGTCTAATTATTCAGTCTATGACACTATCCCAAGCAACTATGGGTACTTAACATTGATTGCAGGCGATGCCCATGAAGTACTAGTGACCCAAGGACATCGGTAATCAGTTTATGACATAATTGTACTTCAGAAAGAAATTTTGACAGGTCTTTACCTTGCAATTTCGGAAAGGGGTTCTTTTTCTTTTCAACTTTTAAAAATGTTTCAGCGCCTAGTTCAATAAATCAAAGAGCACCAAGAAATGTACATAATGCTGTTTAACAACTACGCTTGATGTACAATATTTGATATAGAAAAATATTGTAGGACATGTTCCATGTCGCTAATCAGCATACCTCTGACATAGACAAAATAAATAACAGTAATAATAATAATAATAATAATACATTAACTAATTAGTATACAGAACGACATTTTGGACGGTGGATCATGAATATCTTTTATACAAATGGCGTTAGCATTTGGTCGATGTACTGTACCGTCAATTTCTATTTATGTAAAAAGGGTAAGAAATATATGGTACTTGGGGATACAAAGTGCTTGTCTTTTTTCTCCCTGTGCATTACAAGTCCTTCCGCTAATTTGGATAAGCACAATATTATCGGCACTGTTCCATGTCGCTTACAAAAATAAATTAATGACATATAATTGCAAAGGAAAATAAAAATAAACTTGTCGAATGGTAGAAGATATTGATCTGTTAAATTATGCTAGCATATATACTACTGTACGAAATGTGCATTGCCGGAGATTTCAAATCGTATATTTTTATTTTTACGTCCCACTTCTAATTATCATCCCTATGAGGCGTGACGTAGCCAAAGTAAATATATGTGTATACATGTATTACAACATCTTATTTTAGATCAGCACCACCTGACCCACAAAGA